AGTATATTGATGGATTTGGTTGAATTCCTATATAATATCACTAACATTCATCCTTTTTGTATCAATGAAACACAGAAAAACATTCTAAGATATAGTTTTCCATGATGAAAATATTTTCACCTTGGTATATGCTTTTATATAAAATTCTTGATTTTCTGTGTTTTCTACATGCTAACAAATATACAGCTTCCAAAGTTAAGCCCCTTCCTCCCATTTTATCTATAAGAGTTATCTCCCATTTCCCATTATGCAGCAGAGCATCAGTAATGGCAGCCTCCATTGGAAAATGTTCCATCAGTATTTATACTTCAAGTTGTTGTTCTATTTCACCTCTGCATCCATCAGAAATAAATTTGATTAGATTAAAAGACTGCAAATGAGGCATTGTATCACATCTGTTGAAAAATGGGATTCGATCTGTAGATCTGGCGTGAAAGGAGAGGCTGATGTATTCAGTGAAGTAGACCTAATATGCAAGCACGTGGGACTCTTCACTATTGAGGAAGCATTTACGGTATGTCCCTATCACAGAGACTTTCTTGGTGTACATTGGCGTCCCAAGACATCTTGTCAGTATCCTGACCACCAGGGAAATGCCAAGCCATATCGGAGTTTCAACTCTCTTATGTCTAAGCGGATGGTTTCCGAGTTTGGTACTTTAGTGCCTATAGGTTCTGAAGAGTTAATTTATATTTCCTTAGAAAATTTGAATTGGAATTTAATCTGAATTAAAAAATGACACACGCTATAACAGTTTAATATCATGTGAAGGTTGTTTCCATGAGATGGGGGGGGGGGGTATGTGTCATGCAGTGTTTTTACTATAAATTGCCATATTTTAGTTTCTGATTCAATGATGCAGTGGTCAAAGAATTTTTTCTAAGGATGCTAAATGAAAAATTATTTGTTGTTTTTTGAGGTATTTATTAAATGTGATAATATATCAGAAATCAGGGTTGTCAAATTCCATGTTTAAAACATACACAACAAAGTGTATTAAATTAATGTTTACAAGTGTTACAAATACATTCTTTTAAATAAATGTCTATATACATGTAGATATGAATGTAGACAAATTGGTTGTCAAAGATTTGATCAGCTCATGATGAGAATATTTACATGTCAAAAGCATTTTAGACCAAACTTAATACATGTAGTCCCATGTGCTACATGTTCAAAATGTAGTGTGGTTGCTATCACATCACATTACATCACATTTTGATGTATATAACAGTATATATAAACATTAAAATAATCATTGAAGTTGATTGCATGTTTAAAAAAAAATAGCAATGATAAATCTTTTATACAAAAATGACTTCTAGACATAGATTTATTTATCATTATTTAAAACTTGAGTATATAGAGATACATGCACTTAAAAACTTCTGTAAATTTCAATACTTCCCTTTTTTTTTGATTTTTAGGAATATGCAGAAAATGTCATGGAGATTATTTGAATTTTCCTTCATCAATAGGCATGATAGGAGAGGTAATAAATGCAGTCTTATTTTTCAAGAGGTCTTTCACATCTAGGAATGATTTACCTGTGCCTACTTGTGTATTTTCATTCATAATTAATGATTAAGCAACCTCCTCCTAATGTTGTATGAAATAAGTTGCTACATCCATAGTTGCATGGTTGTGATAGCAACGACACTACTTGAAATTATATTTAAAAAATAACTAAATAGAACCAGTAAAAATTACTTGAAAATAAGATTTTTTAAAGAATTACTTATATCATGAGTCATATTCTTGGTATTTAAAGCCCATGTTAGTAACATAACATAACATTGGGGTAAAAGAGCTTTTTATGAGATGTTTGTGAAGCCTTAAGTTACATGAGTGGAGTAAAAATTACATTAATTCAGTTTTTACATATCTAAAGTCTATTTACTGATAAACTATATACAGTGGAAATTTTTATAATCAGTAAGTACACAGAGTAATATGCTGAGTTTAAGTTTTAGATTCCAAAATTTAGATATCAATTCTATTGCTTTTTTTTATTTGATAAAAAGTGTTCAGATTTTATTTGCTGTTATAAAATATAATAAATAAGTAAATGAAATAAGTCAATATTAATTATATCATGAATAGGTTGAAGTTACCATGGAAGATAACCACAGAAACGAAGAGACAAATGTTGCAACCTCTATCCAAAACCAGCAGTCTACATGTACTGATGGTGCATGTATAAAATTCACATGTTGAGTTATTGATAGTGTTTTGAATCATTGAAGTTTGTTGTGTAATATATGATTAATAACCTGTAATAAACATGATAAATGGATTTCTAAGCATATCAACAGATTGTGTGAAATTTACATGCACACTTGAGCTGAAAGCTCAAGTGAGCTTTTCTGATCACAATTTGTCTGTAGTCCGTCTGTCTGTATGTAAACTTTTCACATTTTCGACTTCTTCTCCAGAATCACCGGGCCAATTTCAACCAAACTTGCCACAAAGCATCCTTGGGTGAAGGGGACTCGAATTTGTTCAAAACAAGGGCCATGCCCTTTTTCAAGGGGACATAGTTAAGAAATAGTGAAAATTTGGTGGCATGTTTTAAAAAATCTTCTCAAGAACCACTGGGTCAGGAAAAATGAAACTAATTTGGAAGCATCCTCGGGTAATGTAGATTTAAATTTGTTCAAATCATGACCCCCGGGGATAGGGTTGGGCCACAATGGACGATCAAAGTTTTACATAGGAATATACAGGAAAAATCTTTAAAAATCTTCTTCTCAAGAACAACAAAGCCATGATTGGTCATATTTATATGGAAGCATCCTCAGGTAGTGTAGATTAAAGTTTGTTTAAATATTGACGCCCGGGGGGTAGGATGGGGCCATAATAGGGGATAAAATTTATACCAAGAAATATGTAAGAAAAAATCTTTTAAAAATCTTCTGCTCAAAAACACAAGAACAGCGAAGCCATTAGTTATTTAATATGGAAGTATCTAGAGGTAGTGTAAAATTCAAGACCCCCCCCCCCCCCCGGTGATGTGGCCAGTGTTTTTCTGTGTATATTTCTATACACAAAAATGGCTAACAAATCTATTTCATAATTGGCTTAGTAAACAACACAGCAAAATAATGAAAATATTTAGGATTATTTTCAAAATAGTCTTTCAACAAATATGTAATTCCTTTGACATGATTTTATTTTTATAATATTTCCATTATTTCTATAATCCTCATAGGCTCAGGCTGAAACAGATATTGAAGCATGGAGTTGTCGACTCCGGACAAGAAAGACAGAGACTATTATATATGAAGTAAGTGTTGAACAATTTGAATATCATATGAAAGCCAGAAATCTGATGAAATATTGTAATTTTGCATCTGTAAAAAGTAAAAACATTTAGTTTAAGGAAAATCAAGTCTGGGAGAAAAAAATATTTCAGCTCTTGTCTTTTGAAAAGCAAGATGATCATAATGTGGTAATGCCTATTACTCAGTTTATTTATCTTTTAAAAAATTATCATTTAATACTTAAGTGTATATACTCTAAATTAATTGTTCGATTGATAACTGCCAGGCTACCATCATGCATAGGGGTATCAAGTTTTAGCATACAATTTTTATAGTGGAAAATATCATTCAAGTTTTTCTTCTTTGAAACAGTACTGTTAACATAAAACTAGAATATGAAAAGTATAGCCATACATTTACATTATTTTGAAAGAGCTAGAGGCATCTTTTAAAACTATAAATATCATGACAATGAAAACCCAGCCTACTCCCTACCAGGGACAACCATTTGAAGAGGTCAGTGTTTTATACCCAAATGAGCTATGTAGCTCCTATGTCAAACAAATATCACAAAACTGAAACTTTGTCTTCAAAATACTCAGATAATATGTTCAAATACATATACTTTGTTATAGTAGTATGTAAAATTTATATGATATGTTTAATTTTGTAACAGAGTGATAGTCAAAGCAGTGCAGTTTGTAGTCAAGGTTCTAATTGGAGTCAGGAAGAGGAAGCTCTTCCCCTTCATGAAATTCAGTTGACTGATGTGAACACAGCTATTAACATCCTAAGCCAGGGTCAAATTAGTCCACTGCGATCAAGACTCAATACGGACTTGATGGATACTAAAGAACGAACTTTAAGGTGAACGAATCACTTCAATTTATGAAATTCTGATTACCTTTTTCATGCATGAACAGTGAATTTAATATATTAGTTTGTATGGCTGTACTTTTCATATTTTAGTTTTATACAAAGATTGATTATGACCCGAGGGTGTGTTGTGACCTTGACTCAAGATAATTCTTGCAAATTCAAGGTCACTGACCAAAAAAGTATAAAATTCTTGTTCAATCTACAACTTCTTTATAGAGAACATTGATATTTTATACATTTAACAAAGATTGCCTATGACCTGGAAATATGTCAGGAACTTGAACAAGGTCATCTGATCAAGTTCAAGGTTATTCAATTCCTGTTTTCACCATATCTTCTATAAATGGAGAACATTAGAGGGATATCTTTTCAAAAATATTGCATATAGGGGGAATTAGTTTGTGAGCTCACTCAGACCTCTAGTTTCATATTTGTTCAAAGTTATGCTCAGGTGATACTGTGACTCAAAGGCCTCATGCTTTGGACTGGAATATAATTTTGGTCTACTTCATATCACATTCAGTAGGTGTTTACTTTTCTAACAGCAGAAGAAAGAGTATCTTAAATATATCTTTCTAATTTTTAAATACTACAAAAGGAAAGCACAGGAGACTTGTACAGCTCTACTAGATGCAATTGCTCCTCATCAAGGAGAGAGACTTAAGGAGATAGCATTACTAAATTCAGAAGCTACTGATGATGACCTTTTCCATGTTGTTGGCGAAATGTACTACAATATCAAGGATGCAAATGTGAAATGTCAACGTTTGTCTCTGGTAGTAAACAGATGTTCAAAGGCTGAACTGTTGACAAAATTTCCAGAGGTTACAAAACATCAGATAGATGAAGCTGGGAGACATGCTTTCGTAAATGGTCCTGGATCAGGTGTTCAGCAAACAGTATCTTCTCAACACAGACAGAGAATCAATTTTGCAAAGTTACAACATGCAGTAGAATTTTTCAGTGATCCATCATTCAACCAGATTTCATCATACACTACAAGGAACCTAAAGCTAGATTCTGGAGACACTTTAGTAATTCCTGATGTAGTTAGGACTATGATCCATTCAAATTTGATCAAACCTTACAACACATACTGCGCCAGTAATAACTTTGAGCATCTTAGTGAGTCGACTCTATATGAAGTCCTAAATGCATGTAGTGCATCAAAACGGAAGTGTCTGAAAGGACTTGATAACATTGCTGTTGATGGATCTTCAGCTTTTGACAGTCTGAGTAGCTTATTTGATAAACTTGATGAACCTCAACAATGGAAAAAAGAAATGAAGGAAAAGCTGTTCAATGCTCGACTGTACTTAAAGACTGACTACAAACTCCACATCAAGCGAGAAGATGAATGTGCTTTCCACTGCTTACAATATGCACTGAGTGACCCCAAATCAAGCCATCTTAGTGTTTCATGTGACCATGAGCATAATAAGATCTGCAGCAGGTGTAACATATTTGGTGAAGTTGCCACAGAGATCCGCAAGGTCATCATAAAGACTCCATCAGAAGAGCAAGAGGTACTATATTGCAAGATTTGGAAATGTCCGTAATACAGGTAGAGGACTGGAGATTTCATATTATAAGAACTGTGAATCAAGATGATGGAAGAGTAGACATTCTGCATGACTTGAAGAACAACGAAGTTTTAGTGATTCTAGACTGGGCGATGAAATATTTGCCACAGATGTACCGTGAGAAAATGAAAGACTTCTTTGGACAGAAAGGTGTACACTGGCATGTGTGTGTTGCAGTTTTCAAGGAACAAAATGGAGGTTTAGTGGTAAGCTAATATATAAATAATACACAGTTCAACTACAGTTTCTCGGAAGTGGATTTCTTGAATATCATGGATTTCTCAAAGTGATTCAATCAAATCCCTAATAGATTACTTATTATTCAAGTATTTTATCCTTGATACATGCATCATCTCAAAGATTTTCTGTAGTCCCAAGGAGTTCAAGATAAGAACACTTGACTGTACACATAAAAAAATTATTATGGGGTATAGATCTATCAGTTGTTTGTCTGTTGTATTATGCATACTCCATGTGTATTGGCATGTGAAAGTAATTTGGTATTTAAAATTAGAAATAAAATGAAGTTGCTTTACAGTGTGTGAACATATGCCTCAAGCAGTTTTTACTCTTTTGTAGCACAAGACTTTTACTCACATAATGGATTATGTGAAACAGGACTTCTTTGCTGTTCTTTCATTACTAGAACATACACTAGTAACTATTAAACAATAGCTGCCACACATTACAGAAGCTTACCTTAGATCAGACAATGCGGGGTGCTACCATTGTGGGCAGATATGGCTCTCCATACCATCATTGTCAGAAAGAACAGGTAATCTTTGTCAATTATGCACAATGCATACCTTGTAAGCATCTGAAATTGTTGATGCTTTGGAATTTGTTTTCTCTTTAATAAATGGGTTTTCTTTGTCTAGAACATTATCATAAATTATACTTCTTAAGGGATTGATTTGCTCATTCTCCTCATGTACATTCTGTTTTTATGGATTCATAATATATGCGTAAAAATGTTTTTCTGATTTTTTTTTTCAATTGAAACAAAGTTTGAATTTCCATTAGGTAGCTATGTTGCGTCTGTTTGAAAATTATGCTAGCAAAAGTAAAAATGCTCTTGAAAAAAGCTTCCTTGAGAATATATGTATGCTGTAGTGAAAAATATGTTTTCATCAAATGAAAATACTATTGTATGTATTCTCAATTTTTCAGGAATTACTGTGAAGCGTTTCGACTACAGTGAAGCACAGAGTGGAAAAAGTTACTGTGATGCAAAAATTGCTCACATGAGATCAAAGAGGAGGATCTTTTCTTCAGAGGGCCATAATATATGTACAGCTATCCAGATGAAGGAGGCAATTGAGAGTGGTGCAGGAGTCAAGGGAACCTGCATTGCTGTTGTTGATGTTGATGTTACTAAGCAAACACTCACAAAGCATTCTTGGAAGGAAGTAAGCATCATATCAAACATTGAATTCACAGCAGCAGGATTAAGAACATGGAAAGCATACAGAATTGGAGAGGGGTGCTTCAAAGATACGGAAAGTCTTCAGAAACTAGGTCAATTGCAATCTACTACCAGTTTAAAGATCATAAGTGACTTCAACCACCCTGAAGAACATGGCCAAATTCATCTTAAGACATCAGAGAATCAACCAGGATCACATGATGATCAATCTGTTACCTTATCAAATGATGATGATGATGGTGTCGATGACGAACCTTCTGGAATGAACTCTAAGTTATTCTTTTGTCCTGAATATGGATGTTAAAAGTCATATCAGACTTTTGAGAAGCTGAATGAGCATGATTTGAAAGCTCATCAATGCTTTTCTGATCATTTTTTTTTGGCATGTCATCTCTATATCATGTAAATATGCAAAGATTCCTTAGTCCTGTTGATCCATTTTTTTTTAATTCAAATTGTAGATCCTGCAGTTAGGTGGGGCTAAAATTGAAATGTTAAAAATAAATATGGATTTTACATCACAATGTTACAAATGCACTGGACTTTGGTTTGTCTTAATGTTTGTTTTAATCTTCAACAATTGTTACCATGGCAACCGGAAATATCACTTATTTATGATTTAATATTTTATTTTTCAATAATTTGTATAATTTCTTTCTACATTAAATGGGATCATCAATCAAAAAAAATTGTTTTAATGGAATGGTACATCATATGCATAGTGTTTGATTTCAGGAATTTTTGAAATATGTTTAAAAAACGCCTTTTTCGAATTGTTCGATTTATTTAAAAAATGGAAAACGCAGAATTTTTATTTGATAATTCACATCTCTTGAGGATACAGTTTCTGAATTCATAAATGAATTTATGCAATCTGTATGTTTTTTCATGAAATATAACTTTGAAATAATGAAAATTTAGGTTTTTTATTGAATTTCTCCACTGGGCTATTTATAGATTTGATTTCAAGATTCAGTATAACTGAAAAATATTTAAAAAAAAAATAAAACTTGATTTGTTAGAACTAGTAGACTTTATATTATAGTTTCAGATAGTAACAAGACTTTTTGGATAGAAATTGCTGTGGTAACCAACTGAATATCATTGTTGCATGAAACAAAGAACAATTATGCATAAAAATTACAATTTTTGTGTATTTTAATAAAAGTACATCACAAACAGAAATGAGATATTCAAAGTTGCGAAAGTCAGAAGGTTGTCCATTCTTCTAGTCTGCTGTGACGAAGTAAGCAAAACAACAGAACAGGTTTATAATTTATAAACTGTAAACATCTGAATTAACTATTTCCCGCAACAAACCAGATGTAGTATTCTTGGGGGTTCAATGACACTCGAAGCATAAATCGATTTACAAAATACCCATTGTTGCTTTCTAGCCAAAAACTTCGACATCAATGATCAGTCCTAATCCTAGCCCTGATCCTGTTCTCCACCCTTGCCGGACTAAGGGTAAATATTTCTGTTGGGTTTATTTTATTTTCAGTATAAGTATAAGTATGTTACAAGCATATTACCTTCTATAGAAAACAAGAAAGTACCCAGCAAAAGACCGAGGAAGTTTTTTTTTTGTTTGTATGGTGTTTAACGTCCCTCTCGAGAATTTTTCACTCATATGGAGACGCCACCACTTGCCGGTGAAGAGCTGCAAATTTTGTCCTATACTCGGCACTTACGGCCATTGAGCAGTGAGGGATCTTTTTCGTGCCGGTACCTACTGCGACACGGGACCTCGGTTTATACGGTCTCATCCGAAGGACCGGTCTCCACGTCCCACAGTGGGAATCGAACCCGCGACGTAAGGATCAACTCCTTACTCCGCGACTCTAGAGCAGACGCTCTAACCACTGCGCCACGCGGGCGACGACCGAGGAAGGGCCCACGAAAACAAACATCTGGGAAAAGAAAGAGGAAGGAATGTCCTCTCTCATGGATACAACCGCCATGCAGCAAAGACCAACGTAAAAACCGGCAAAAGTAAGTAAGCAAATTATCATGATTCAAATGGCAAAATCCATATACTAACGTTGATTTTTAGATGTTAACCTTTCTGCATTTCCTAATAAGATTATTCTGTGTAAAGATTAAAACACTTAAAGGATGTAATGCTGTAGTTAAATGGCTAGATACCCACTTCCACAAGAAAAAAAGATGGAGAGGAATTACATCAGCTGGTGATGTCGACAAAGGAGCAGAATTGACGTTAGTTTTATCCCATCTCAATGTTTATAAATAAACTGTTTTTTTTTTCAAGAATACTATCATATACTGGTGTCATAAAATATTCTAGTGAGGAGCCAGCTGAAGCTGAAGAGGAAGCTGAAAAAGAGGGAAAAGTACTCTAGAGGAGAATGGAGGAAAGGTAAGTTTATTTTTAGAATTATCTAAGCTTTAAATATGTAAATCTTCCTTAAACAAAATTTGGAATGTATTAATGAATTATTTCAGAGAAAATATAGAAGGAGTTCAAGCTATGGCATATGAGCCTTGAGAAGAACAGGGGGAGAAGATTACGGAGCAACATGCTCAGCAAATCTTCTCCATCTGGTCAAGTATAGATCCAGATTTGGATATAAAGACACTACTGTCAGCATCCAACATCCGTGACAAGTGGTTGCCCATGGCAAGGACAAGATTCGCACCAGGGACAGTTAGGTCTTATCTTGGTAAAATTTTATTAACCTCTACTGAAAACAAGTTGATAAAACATTTCTAAAAGTTGTTGATTGTACATTTTTTCTCAATGTTATTTCTTAAGGATCACTTAAGGATTTTGTTGATTTTCTGGTTGACACGGGGGAGTTGGAGAGAACGGTATCCACGGCCCTAACAGAAAAATTTAAGCGTTGGGCAAGGGCCCTGCAGATAGATATCCAAAAGAGGAGAGTAGAAAAAAGAGCGGAAGATGATGGTATTTTTCCATGTTTCAATAATTACAGTAAAACAGTTTTAATGATATATTTCTCTCCCTAAATATATCTACCTCTAAATATATATGTGTATATTAAAAATTACAGTAGAGAGAAAAGAGCCAGAGGACATAGTAGAATTTCAGAAGTCTAACATCTATACTGAAGCAGTTGAAATGTTTAAGGATATGGAGGAGGATTAGGGTCAAGGGGACTTACAGGAAGAGAACTTTTTGTTAGTGAGGAATTTCCTCATGTTGAATCTCTTGATAAATAATGGGCAAAGGGTGGATGCCTTAGTTAACCTTAAAATCAGGCACATCAAGAATGCTGAGGAAAAAGACAATAGCCATGTGGCAGTTGTGAGTCTTTTCTTCCTTCATTTTCTTTTTTACTGAATGGGGAGTTAGGGGGTGGGGATTTCTAAGGTAAAATGTCATTTCTATTAAGAAAGGATCATGATCTTTTAACATTATTTTTTCAGATTGCACATCACAAGACTGGCCATATAGCACCCATTACCCTCGTTTTTTCCGAGGATCTCTTGACGTTCATGGAAATCTACTTGTCCAAGATCAGACCGTGGTTGTCCGGCTTCAACAGTGAGCTCGAGGAGAAGTCGGTGGTTTTTCTGACGTACCCACCAAAGACAGCCAGCCCCTCTGCTTTGAACCCATCCTCGGTGAATAAAGCCATCAAATCAACTTGGAAGCCCGCAGAGCAAACAAAGAACATTTCGGCAACTCAGCCGAGGAAGGCCACCGCTACTTCAGTAAGTTAGTTATAGGAAGTTAGATAGATAGATAGAAAGATAGATTAGATATCTGATAGATAGATATCATATAAGCATAACTTCTCCTTATAGGTTAAATCTAAGTTCACACTTGCCCGTGACGTTTTGGCCTAACAAATGAATCACCGCCCGTCAACGCAAGACACATATTACATGCTGACTCAAAAGAAAACGGATGCAGTCAAGATCGTTAGAGTTATCGAGAGTGTTATGAGAAACGTGGATGAAGAGGTTTTTAATGCTTTTTGTAAATCAATTCATGATGCAAATATCTTTTGAAAGATTTGCATTGAGGTACAGTTGTATGCTGTGTTTTATGGTGTATTTTGCTTTCATTAGGTCAGGGAAATTGATGGAAGTAAGGGTCCAATTATCCAGGAGGTGGATGAGATGGAAAAAGAAAACGGACTTCCACTGGTATGCTTTTAAATGATCTATGTTTCATTACTATAACATTAGGCAATTATTACACAACAAGAATATTTAAAAAAAAATTGTTATAGCCTGAGGGATGCCTATCAGCACAGCACAAGAGAAGATTGTTCACTACATAGGAAGCTCAAATAATCGTCAGCAGGTGCAGAGAATTGATTGATGGTGAGAAGCAGTGTTCTACAAATACAATTAATTTTCAAATACTCAATCAAAAACACCTATTAATAAATTATAATTAGTTTTCATCTAATTTACTTTATAGATGACAACAAACCAATAAAAAACAAAACTTGCCTAGAGTTGTTGGGGAAGGGAGAAGAAGGAAAGAAGATCATCTCGAGGGTTAAAGATCTGCATCCTACGGATTATCAGAAGAGCATTGCAGATAGGGTGAGAGCACAAAGAAGGTTGTCTAAAAAGAAAGCACATATATCATTGTTTTAATTATATTGGTACTTGATAGTTTCTGTTCTGTTTGATAGAAACGATTCCAAAAAGAAAACTAACATGTGTATCTTTTTTTTCAGTTGAAGAGCACAGAAGAAAATCGCAAATGTTTATATAAATGATCATAAATAAATTAGTACAATTTAATACATTTGACCTTTTGTTGTGTTGAAACAAAAAAAAAAATATTTCCAAAAACATTTACCAGTGAATGGAAAGGAGAGTAAGCCAAGAGCCATATAAAATGGACAAATTGATGAAGGTATTACCATTTGAGCATGCAGACATATATTTTCTTGATATCCTCTGTACAAATTTACAGGAAGGAATAAATCAATAAGACCCTGGAATATTTAATTGGAGGACACATTTTGAAACTATGAATCTATTCTGTATTTTGGGATGTCCGGTAAGCTCCTTCTGGCTTGGTATTTCATGATTATAGCAAACTATATCAATAGAAAGTGTACCAGAGCAGAAAAGCATCAATATGTACTAAATTCAATAATTTTGTTCTAACCCCAGGGTTAGAAAATGTAAAATGTAATATAATTTTTTTTTTGTGACTTTTCCTTTTTGGGCCCTATTTTCTTAAAAAATCAATTTTAACTGGATATTTTAGAAAAAAATTGAAAAAATACACACACACACACACACACACACACATATATATATATATATATATATATATATATATATATATATATATATATATATATATATATATAGCCCGTGCCCCCCTCCCCCCCCCCCCGGTTCCTACGGCCATGATAAGGACAAATCTGGAGTCGTGACTTGTCGAAATCACTGAAGTCACTCTTGTTTAATCGCGACATGATTTTTCGACAAACCAAGTGTTGCGATCAATTAGAAACATGTTATTTTAGATAAATTCTACCCATATACTACTTTGTAGCAAATAAAACAGTACATAAAGTTCACAAAATGTTAAGTTACATTTTACATATCTAACCCCAGGGTTATGAATATACATTTTTCTTGTATTTCTTAAAATTAAAGGAAATTAAAGTAAAATATGGGTTGTTTTTTCTTCGTCTAAATTAACTGTACAAATATTTAGCAATATATTTTAATACCATACGTAATCGACAAATTCGATGGCAATAGAGATGTCGCAACATGTCGAAATCACTTAACGCATTCCTGTTTTGTTGCGACTTGACAAACCAAGTGTTGCGAACACTTAAAAATATGTCATATTTTTAAATACAATTAGAAAGATGGTATTTTATGTTCATTCTACACATATTTATTATTTTAGACTCTAAATTCTGAGTCACTTTATATATTTACTTTGATGCCTCAATGAATTAAATAAGTAGGCCAAAGTATGCGCTTTCCTGCGTGATATTTCATTATTATAGGAAACCATATCAATAGAAAGTGTTCAAGAGCATACACGCATCTATACCTAAAAAATCAAAATTTTGAGTAAACCCCAGGGTTAGAAAATGTAAAATGTAACTTAAACTTTGAAGACCCGTGTCAGATTTATTTTTGGAAATAGTCAATATTTTTGACCTTAAAATAATATAAAAGTATTAATTTAAAACTTTTAAATTCTTAAATTATCTTTATTAAGGGATAAAAGAAAAAAAATGTACTTAATAACTGTAAAATGTAACATAAAAGGATGCGATCTTGGCTAATAATCAAGATATGGCGCTGAAACCCACAGGGTTAGAAATCTCAAAACAGAGTTAATTCGGGTTAAATCAATCAATAAAATCAAAGAGATCGATGGGGGGGGGGGGGAGGGGGGAGTCAAATATGTTTATGTTATATTTACGTTATTTATGTTACCTTTTACACTATTTATGTTACAATTTACACTTTTGAATATTTATGTTACAAAAAGTGTAAATTTATGTTACAATTTACACCGAGCCCACAATCCTAACCCTAACCCTTACCCTAATTATGTGCCTGTTTACACTTTTTGTAACTTAATCTTTGACCTAGCCTATATTATTATTAACGTATATTAGGATATATTTGAGGTTATTAATAAGTAGTTCTGGCCCAAGATAACAAATTAATATGGTTTTTTTTTTTAATTATTTTATTTTTTCAACACAATTCATTATATACAAAATGTCCAATATCTTTTCTTTAACAGAATTGTGTGTATATAGAGAGAGAGAGAGAGAAAGAGAGAGAGGGGGAGAAAGAGAAAGAGAGAGAGTTACAAAAATAATTGGTTCCACCTGTTCCACTGATTGTCAAATTTCTCTTTTTCACCATTTTTATATGATATATATTTTTGTGTTTGGTAAAAATAACTCAAGTGTGATATCGCAGAGTGCACATTTAGAGGTTCAAATAGTAAGTAGTATAAATATAATATTTCAACCATAAGATTAAGATATTAGCTATTTCATTATTTTTTCCTCCAGTACCTAAAATGAATGATTTTTTTGTTATGGACAAATGGAGGTTTTTCTGCTGGAGATAATATTCAAAGTTTTCAAGGAGTGATTGTACAAGATCACATTCCCATAAGATATGTTCAATTGTCTCTTCTTCTTTTTGACAAAAAGTACATTGCTTTGAAACAACCTTTTTAATTTGAATAAAAAAGAATTTGTTGCCAATATTTTATTTAAAATTCTGTACTGAAACCACTGGAGTTTACAGTTTTTTGTGACTTGAAATGGTAATTTATGAATTATTTTGCATTCCTTACTATCCAAATCAAATAATTCAATCCATTTTTTGTAACCAGCTGTTATAGAAGAATTTTTATTGATAATTTCATAGAAGTTTTTTGATTTTTTGCATTTTGATACAAGATAAAAGAGGATTTTCTGATTTTTGTAAATTTTTATCAAAATTGCTCCTCTTTATCCAAGCTTTAACTGCATGGATCAAGCTAGAATACTCTAAAAAATTAATCTTTATATCTTTATATCTGGATAAGTATTGCAAAATCATTCATAGCTATGAAAAAAAAGCCATCTACTCCAATAATGTCATTAATATATCTAATATTATTGTCAAAAAGTTTTTTACTATAAAAGGTTTTCCCTCCAATATGGATCATAGGGTTATAAAACAGTGGAGAGTCTACAGTAGCATCAGAATCAGTACAAATTTTATTCAAATCAACCCAGGACTTGAACACATCAATCCAGAATTTATTTTTTTAAGGTTTTCATAAGTTGAGTGATGTATTCAATACTACAGGATGCAAATTTATATATATTCATATTTGGGATGAAATTTTCCCACCCTTTATTTGTAAAAACTAGATGTCTTATCCAAACTAATTTCAAAGAAACAATGAAAGCATTTAAATTTATCATTTTCAGTCCTCCATCTTCATATTTTTTAACAATGACATCTTTCTTAACTCTATGAGTTGAATTATTCCATAAGAATGAGAAAAAAAGTTTTTCTAATTCTTTACAATAAGAATTAGATGGATTTGGGATTGACAAAAATAAATGATTTAATATAGGTAAAGGCAGTGTCTTTATAACAGTAATTTTTCCAATTGGAGTTAAAAACCTTTTTCCCCATTGACTAAGAATAGACTTGATTTGCACTAGCTTTGGTTGATAATTTATTTCACACATTTTATCTAGGTCAACATCAAAATTTATCCCTAAAAAAGTAAATCTAGTAGTTCCCCAATTAAGTTGATAATTTGGGATTAAAACCTCATCACTGTATTTTTTGGATCCAATCCACACAGTGTGTGTTTTTGAGAAGTTAATGCATAATCCAGACATATCTGAAAATGTGTTCAAAGTTTTCAATGTTTCTAAAAGAGACTCCTCACTTCCATCAAGAATAAGGGAAGTATCATCTGCCAGTTGAGAGATCTTTTTTTCTACATTTCTAGTGGTAATACCTTTTATTTTTTTATTTTTCCTAATTTGTATGGCTGGAATCTCTGCACAGATCAAAAAAATATATGGAGACAAGGGGTCTCCTTGTCTGCATCCCCTCTGAATATCAATTACATCAGAAAAATTACCACCTTGATTAACAGTAGCTTTAATATCCGTGTAAAAAAGAGTGACCCATTTTCTGATGGAAGGGCCGAA